CAGTATCTTGAAACAAGTTCTACCTGGGACCTCCAGTAGCCACACCTGGCTGTGTTATTTGCCATATAGAAGCTTTTCAGTTTCATGAGCTCCCATTTATTAATTGTTGTTCTTAATTCCTGTGCTATCAGTATTCTATCCAGAAAGTCTTTCCTTGTGTCAGTGAGTTCAAAATTATTCTCTACTTTCTCCTCTATCAGGGTAATAGACTTATGTTGATCCTTGATCCATTTGGAGTTGAGTTTTGCAGGTGATAAGTAAGGATCTATTCGAATTCTTCTAAGTGCAGCCATCCCGTTTGAACAGCAACATTTATTGAAAATGCTCTTTTCTAGTATGCATTTCTGGTTTCTTCATCAGAGATCTGATTTCTGTCTGGGTCTTTGGTTCTGGTCCACTGATCAGTGTGTGTGTTTTTATGGCAATACCATGCTGTTTTTATACTATAGTTCCGTAGTACAACTTGAGTTCAGAGACAGTGCTGCCTCCAGCCATTTATTATTCAGGATTGTTTTAGCTATTCTGGCTTGTATTGTGTGTGTGCTTCCAAATGAAGCTGAAAATTGTTCTTTCAAGTTCTGTGAAGAACTGTGTTGGGATTTGGCTTCATCATACCACAGAGACCCTTGCTCAACCAAGTTCATCACTGCTCTATTCATAATAGCCAGAAATTGTAAACAACTGAGCTGTCCTCTGAAAGAAGAATGGATTTTTTTTTTAAAAACTGTGGTATGTTTACACCTTTAAGAAAAAAAAAGTGAAATTTGCCAGGAGATTGATGGAACTATGGGTCTATACCAGACAGAGGTGAGGTGGACACAAGCCCCCCTCCCTAACTCAGAAGTTATCTCCAATTGATAAGCACTTGCAAATGAAAAAATACTTTTCTCCAAAGGAGTAACTCAGTAACTCTTAAGTCCAGGCCCCATGCCCAGGAGCAGAAAGCCAGTACAAAATGATCCCAATGACTTTTTTGGAGATTCTTTATCTCATGTCTCATTAGGGCATTTATTTATGTGGCATTTATTTTTAATAAAAAATTTATTCATCATTTATTTATCATTATCTTATAGGTCCTTTGCACATATATTATAGGCCCCAGGTTTGTGTTTTTATGGGACTCCTGTGTGTATGAACCTGTGTGTCTCTGCATCTGTGTGATTCTTATGCTTTTTCTTGTCTCTTTTTCTTCTGTTTGTTTTATCCTATTCCAATTTGTTTGTTTTTGTTTTATGTTATTATTTTATTTTATTATTATTTTTAGATGCCTGTTTGTCTTGTAAAGAGACACAGAATGGGGTGAATTCAGATGGGATGGGATGTAGGAAGGATTTCAGAGGAGTTGGGGGAGGAGAAACTGTAATACATATTGTATAAAATAAAATCTATTTTCTTTTCTTCAAGGCAGGGTTTCTCTGTGTAACTTTGGAGCCTGTTCTGGAACTAGCTCTTGTAGACCAGGCTGGTCTCAAACTCATAGAAATCTACCTGCCTCTGCCTACCTAGTTCTGGGATTAAAGGTGAGCACCACCACTGCCCAGCCCAAAAAAAAGTCTATTTTCAATAAAATGAAAATAGGAAAAGAAGAGGAAAGGAAAAGAAATCAGGCTGAGCAAGCCAGGAAGCAATGATCCTCTATGGCCTCTGCTTCAGTTCCAGCCTCCAGGTTCCTGCCTTCATTCCTACCCAATACCTTTAATGAGGCACTGTGATGTGGAACTACAAGCTTCCCAAATTGATTTTGGTCATGATATTTTATCACGATAAAACCCTAACTGATATATTGCACAAGTCTGTGTGACTGTGTCTGTGAGGATTGGGGGTTGGGTAGGGGGTGACGGCATGTGTTTGTGTCTATTCATGGTCTTACGTCATAGGGTATCCTTCTCTGTCCCCCTTTGCCTTGTTCCTTTATATAATCCCTCACTGCACCAAAAACTCATGCCTTGGGCAAGACAAGCAGCCAGCAAGTCCTAGCAAACCCCACTCAGCACTGGGGCCACAGACATGTGCAGGACCTCATGACCTTTGGCAGCTTTTTTGTTGTTTAAAGAGTCTCGGAACTCTGCCTGTCCTGGAACTCATGTGGACCAAGATGGCTTTGAACTTACAGAGATCTACCTGTCTCTGTCTCCTGAGTGCTGATGTCAAAGAAGGACAGTACACTTAACTCCATGCCCAATTTTTTATGGTGCTTGGATCTGAACTCCAGTTCTCTGCATACAGAAACTCTTAAAACTAAGATTAACTCTCTCAGACCGGAAGAAAGAATTTGGTTGGGTTTTTTTTTTAAATTATAATAGTTATACTTTAGTTATAATATTTTAAAAGTTATACCATAATGTCAAATACATAAATCAATAATCTAGAACTATGTTCTTGATAATGCACATTTTTATTATTTAAAACTTAAATATATTTTGATCATATCCTTCCCCCAAGTTTTGCCACCTACTGTGACAAAAGCACATGGGAGGTGGTGAATTGAAAAGGCCCCGCCCCAACCTATTCTGCCAGACTGTGTTGACTCCTCATGGGAGCCCTTACCAGTGAGGGGGAGGGACTAGAAGGAGGAAGGAGGGTGAGAGGAGGCAAAGGGGGAGGGAGAAGAGGGTGGAAGGGAGAACTGTGGTTGGAATGTAAAATGAAATAAAAAAAATTTAAAAATTAAAAGAAAAAAGAAAGGATAAGATACCATTGGCATAGTCAGATGGGAACTAGAGGCCAGAGCATCTTTGGAATCAGTCTTCACAATATCTCAGTAGGATCAAAGGCTGTACAAGTGTCCTCAAGACCAAGTGGGGACCATGTACCATGAAAAGCAGCTGTGGACTTGACTCAGATCCTGTGTATAAGGGTTGCGTATGTGGCCTGGCAGGAAGGGATCCAGAGATTCTCTGGGTCTGAGAGTGAGTCCTTCAAGAGAAGCCTCATACATGGAAGAAATGGGTGAGAGGCACAAGAAAGACCAAAAGACACCCAAAAAGGAACCTGAACCACGGAAAGAATGAGCATCAGATATGGCTGCTTCCAGACGGCAAGGGACTGGTAAAGAATCATTGTAGCCCAACAAGAAACACTTTGTTTCCATTCCATTTGTTCCTCTTCACACCAAAGCCTTTCCCCAGGAATGTCAAGGCCAGCATTCAGCAAAATGGTCCTGAGAAACACAGGACTCCTCCTCCCCTCTTAAACCACAGGAACACTGACTGAGGGAAGGGACTGATGCTTATAAGAAATTGAGTCAGAAACTCTCTTCAGTACAAGAGACAAACACTAACTTCTGATTTAGAAAGTGTTTGCAATCTGAAGTAAACACACACACACATTAGAGCTTCGTAAAATCCTATCATCACTCCCAACAGATTTAAAGGGGGGTAATAGGAGATGCCCTGCTCTTCCATGACACTCCAAAACTCATGTTGAAATTTAACTACTCCTGTAATGGTATGAAGAGGTTGGTACCATCAATAGGTAACCTTGAGAGCTTTGTCCCAATGAGCAGCTCAACTGTTTTCTTGGCAGGGGTCACAAAAATAAGTTGGCCCACCATTCTTTCTCTGCTCGTTAGGATGCTACCCTCACATATATGCCAGCATTTTCATAACAGGTTTTCCAGGTTCCAGACTCATGAAAAAAAGTATTTTCTATAAAATACTGAGTCTGTGGTTTGTATTATAGCAGCAGAAAACACACTAACCCAGAAGACAAAGTAAACATGCAGTTTCTGTTGTCTCATGTAGACTCAGTTGTCTACTTGACCTGTGTACCAATTATCTTCCCATGTACTAGGTCAGCTTTGCAAATTTCATCAGAGATACATCTACTTACTTGGTATCTGGTCATCCCCTGAGTAATCTATATCCCTGGATCTAAATTCAAACACCATGGTAAATTAAAAACATTTCTAAGTGAACATACATTTATTGCAGTGAGCTGACTGACTAGCTTACGTTAGCAGACACTAAACTATAGCCTATTGGTTGTTCACCCTCGTGACCCATCAAAGAGTGGAGCTAACTAAAATCACAAGACATCTTACCACATATTATTATTATCCGAGGTAGTAAACAAAATTCTGAAATTTGAAGTGGTCCTGTTGGATTAGTATTGTCCTGACACTATAGTGTTTAAAATGCTTAGCTGAGGGTGGTGGGTAAGAAGCCTGCTCTCCAAGCATGAAGACCTGAGTTCAGATCTCCAGCACTTCTGTAAAAAGTGGGATCTAGCAGCTTGGTAAAGGCAGTGATCCCCCGCTATCCCAATTCTGAAAATCTGTGAGCTCTGGGCTCAGTCAGAGACCCTGCCTAGAACATTGAGATAGAGGGGGTTAGCAGAAGATACACAAGACAGTTTCTGTATGCACAAAGACACGCCACACATAAAACTGCACCAAAAAGAGAAACAAAATCTACAAAGAAATCCTAAGCTGAAGTATCAAGTGAGGGACTGTGGGCAGCTTTGTTCGATTGCCCTTTGTTCCGTATGTTTTTAGACGTATCATGTCTATTGTCTTGTCTCAGCCTCTATTGTTCCCAGCTGTACTAACACCCCATTGTCTGCTTGCCAGACTAAACAATGTAAATCCTACTTAGTTTTTATGCAGGCCATCTCAGATGCTTCCCTCCCCAGGAATTGTCTGCCACACTGCCCATTGTGAACTCTCCACCCTTTCAACACCCTTCACATGTCCGGGCATCCGCTTGTCTTCCCAACAATGTAATAAGACCCTTTTAAGTGTAAATCAAGGAGTGTATTAGTCTTCACAGTGTACTTCAGATTAAAAAATAAATAAATTACTCTTTTCCTCCAGAAACATCATTGTGTAGCCGACTTTATTTCAAATACTGTAATAAATACTCTTGGATTGGATATAGCATCCCCTGCATAGTGTTCTGTGTATGAAAGGACTCAATCTGTGGCACTTCAGATATGCATTTTAGTACTGCGCACATTGTTTTGTTTTGTTTGGAGGGAAGAGGAAGTCAATAAAGCTGTGCTGGGTTTGAATTCTGCAGGTTTTATTATCCAGTACTTTTGTGGCTTCTAGGTTTAGCACACATGACACATTTTTTTCAGACTCATTCCAAACCAATGCTCAGTATTTGGAAAGTGCTGGAAACACTTTCTCCCCTCTCTCTACTGACCTGCTCTTCATTATCTCTCCCTCTGCTCCTTTATATGTTGTGCTTTATCAAAGTTAAAAGGTGATCATTTTTGTAAGTCACATAGATGTTTACAGTAAATAACATCAATAATAAACGTACAGAAAACAATGATTTGTACTATACAGTGAAATGGGAATGGCAACAGGCCATTTTGGATTTCTTCTTGATTTGTTTCTGACAAGTATACATTAAGTAGAAAGTACACATCTTTTTAAAGACAAATCTCTAAAACTATGTTTTACTTTTTTTTTGCTTTTCCTGGACTTCATACTTAAAGAAAAAAAAATCCTTCAGTGCAAGTCCTTTAGTTGGAGTATGAGCTAAGAGAGGAAAGCCAAGTCAACAAACAGCTTAGGATAAAGCCACCCAGGCAGCCGGAGTCTACCCATGGTACACACCCTTCTTAGAGCTGAAGCCCCAGAAGCATCAGTGTGCTTAGTTTGTTGTATCACAATGACGGTAAAGGTATATCCAAATAAATCTGGGGATAAGGAGATCTTTTCCGAGGCATTTTTCAGGTCTAAATTTCTGGTTATTTAGTTTTTCTAAGAGTGTGTGTGTGTGTGTGTGTGTGTGTGTGTGTGTGTGTGTGTGTGTTCCTGTCATTGTTGTAACAAAATTTCTGAGACTGACTAACAATGAATAAAAGAAATTTATGTGGCTGCATGGGTTTAGAGTTACAAGGCATGGTGCCAACATGTGACAGTGCAAGAAACAGAGAGCACACGGGTGTCTAGGTCGGCTGGACCTTCCTTCCATTCTCCGGCCAATGCGTACATACACAGAGATGCCAAATGTCACCTGGAGATCATCACTGTGAGGTAGAGATGAAGTAAGCTACACGTGTGTTGTTTTTTAAATTATTAATGAAAATATTTCATAATGCTTTACCCTTTAATGAGGAAAACACTAAAGCATGCCAAAGCATCTTTGAGTTAAGCACATTCAAGAGACAACCTGCCCACCCTGCTGATAGCATCAGAAATAATTCTAATTGCCTAAATGAATGCATGTAAAAAAATTTCCTTTGGACATCCCCAAAGGGATTTTCATCAAACTATTTTATCTGGGCCATCTTCAGAATTATTTATTTTGACTATGATACATTATGTCATCTCATCTCCCTTTTAAAATTCAGGTACTAAATTCTGCATAGTGCTAAGCAAGAAGCTGTAATTCTTTGAAAAAAATTCCAAGACAACAAATTTTACAGCAGGGAGCAACGAGAAGTGACCGCCTTCCCTTTCTTCTAGTACACTGTGAACTTCAATTGTTTGACCCGACTTTCAAAGTTTTCTTAATAAAACTTCTGAAATGTTTGGTCGTGTCTCTGTCTCTCTCCCTGCCCCCTCTGCAGGTCTCGTTTTGTTTGTGTGCACTAAGTCTCTACCTCCTCAAAGCCACTGCTTATTTTAAAGTTTACCTCCAGAAAGTCCTTTGTTTTAGAAGCCAAGAACTAATCTTGAGGAGATAATTACACACATAATGTGAAAAATCTTCACTCTGGCATAAATATGTCACCCATGTAAATCTTGTTGTTTTCAGTTCTTTTTATTGAGTCTGAAGAAGCATGTTACAACGTTGTCTTCCTTTTCTGTGAAGTTCTGCCAGTGAGGAGAAAAACACCAATATATAGAAATTTCTTGAAAAAAATCCTATCGTTAAAGGCTGAAAAATGAAAGTTTTAGAAGTTTAAAACAACATAGGCTAAAATGCTATACTAAAACAATAGAAAGCATTAGTAGGAAGCAGAATGTAGCGGCTTGCTCTTGTAACCATAGTCTCTCAGGATACTGACGCATAAGGTTAATAAATCCCAGGCTAGCCTGTGCTACACAGCATGATCCTGTCAAATACAAAAGTTGGTATGAATAGAATTATTCAAAGATATTATTTGAAATCTTCAAAAAGTTTCATTTTCATTAATTATGATAAAAGAGAATATTAGTATGGGATAGAATCTGGAAAAGTTGTATGCTGCCAACTCTTACAATGATCTAAACAATAATGGTCACATATCTAATGTACTAATGCGCCTCTCTATCCCACAACTACAAAAATTACTTGCATTTTTGTTGTTGTTATTGTGTATGTGTTCCTTTGGTGGTTGTTGTTGCTTAGAGCGGGTCTCACTGTGTATGTAGCTCAGACTGGCCTGGAACCCACTGTGTAAACCAGCCTGGCTTTGAACTCACAGAGTTACACCTACCTCCTGAATGCTGGGATTAAAAGCATGCCCCAGGGGACTGGAAAGATAGCTATGCAGTTGAAAATACTATTTTTCTTGAAGAGGAGGCCAGATTTAATTCCCAGCATCACAACCATCTGTAATTCCAGTTCCAGGGGATCTGATACCCTCTTCTGACCTTGTCAGGCACTAGGCAAGTACACAGTACACATACATACATACATGCAAAACAGTCATACATATAAATAAAATTATTAGTAAAAAAAAAAAAAAGACATGCACTACCATGCTAGTTGGTATGTGTGAGGGAGGGGTGAGGCACAAGTGTGCGTGTCATAGCAAGTATGTGGAAGTCAGAGAATAATTTGTGGGAGTTAGTTCCCGCCTGCTACCTGTAGTCCCAAGGTCATCAGACAGCAAGTATGTTTACATGCCTAGACAATGCCTAGACAACTCACTGGCCCTTTAAATTATGTGTTTTAATCATCTGGTTTAGCTAAATCCTAGAGAAATATCCATAAATCCAAGCAATCTCATAAATGCAAATCAAAACGACCTTGTGCCAGGTGAGGTGGGCGGTGTATGCCTGTAATACCATCACTCACGAGGTAAAGGCAACAAGATCAGCAGTTCAAGGTTATCCTCGGCTGGGCAGGGAACTGGGGTGATAGCCTGGGCCATGGGAGATCCTAGATAAACAAACAAACAAACAGAGTGAGAGCCTCATGAGGGGTGGGTCTTGAATACACTATTGGTAAGAAATTAAAAACGAAAAAATGGAACTACCATGTGGTCCAACTATACGTCTCCTTGTTATGTACCTAACAGAAACGAAGTCAGTCTACAACAGAGACTCCTGTGTGCCCACGTCACTCCCTGCACGATCCTTAATAGCTCAATTATAGAATCCTCCAAAGTGCCAGTCAGTAGATGACTTGATAAAGAACCCCCCTTTCCGTGTTCCTTTCCCTCCCCCCACAACATAAAATGGAATATTATGCCACCGTGAAGGAGGAGGAGCTCATAACATCTGCCAGAAAAACAAGTCAACTAGACGTCATGCTAAGAGAAATTATCAGAGGCAGAAAGAGAAATGTGAGAGGCAGAAAGGCAATTACCACATGTTCTCTTCTTTCTGGAATTTAGAATTTAAAAAACTAAACAAATAAAGTAGAAGTAGGGGACTCCCGGGGAAGGGGAAAGAATGGTGAGGGAGGTGGTAAGAAAAGCCATAGGGAGGTTGAATGTGGTCACAGCATGATGTGTACTGTTAATATTTCCTTAGTAACTATGATAAGAAAGAAACCAAGTACAGAGTAACTGCAGTATAATGTGGTAAATATTACAAAAAGCATTAAAACTCTTTTCTTTCTCCCTTGGATTTTTTTTTGTAAATAGATTTTCTTCATTCAGTGTATTCTGATTATGGGTCCCCTTCCCTCAACTTCACCCAGGTCCTCCACACTCCTTACCCACTGAAATATACATCTTTTCTTGCTCTCTCATTTCAAAAAAAACAGGCATCTAAAAAAAAAAAAGGCCAACAGTAAAACAAAATAAAAACATCAAACATGAATACACGAATAGGGTAAAGCAAGCAAATAAACAGAGAAACAAAGAGCTAAGGAAAAAGCAGAGAAAATATATATATATAGACATAGATATGAAATATTGGGACCCACAGAACCCCCCTCCCAAAAAACACAATTGGAAACCATCATGTATAAGAAAGAAAAAAAGAAAAGAAAAATACTCAGACAGTATCATGAGCCAAAAGTCCTCCTAAAAGACCTCTGAGTTCACTTGGTCTGGGGTTGGGGTCTGGCCTTAAAAGTGCTTTGTATACCCAATGAGACTCCATTGGAGAAAACTAGTTTTTCATTTATGAGTGGTTATCAATTGGAGGTAGCTTCTCAGTTAGGGATGGAGGCTGTGTCCACTTCTGCTCTCAGCACTGGGATCCAAGTAGGTCCAGACCTGTGCATGCCCGAGTCTCCATAGGACCATATGCACATCTCTCAAGCTGCATTTAGAGGGCTCTGATTTTTTGGCTCTTACACTCTTTCTGTCTCCTTTTCTACAGGTTCCCTGAGTTGTAAAGAAGGGGAATTGATTGAGACATCCTATTCAGGACTAAGTATTTCAAGGTCTTTCACTCTGCATCCAGGAGATTTTTATATAAAATGTACTGTTTAAGTCCCACTGGTTGGTCTTATACTTACTGTATAGATCAGACTGGTCTCAAACTCTGATACTTACCTCTGCCTCTGGATCCAGGGGTAAAAGGGGTGTGCCATCATGCCTACCCAAATTTCCTCTTTCTTTCCTTCCTAAAAACTAGTTTGAAAACAAGTTCCCCACACTTGCAAAGTTTAAAAGCAAGATTCCTCAATCGTATGAAGACACTGGGTGTGGCCTGGATGCAGCTTTCACCACTAGAGGATACAAAGACCATGCCTCTACATGCCTTCAGTATGCTTAGTGAAAATGATTCTAATTTGCAGCTCTGCAGTCTGCCAAAATAGTACGCAAGGCAGGCACTCAAGCAACTGAGCTGGGAGGATTGCTTTGAGTTTGAGACTAGCCTAATTATACAGTGAGTTCCAGGCCAGCCTGGGCTACAGACAACAAAAAGCAAATGCAAAGTGAAATACATTTTTAAAGATTCAAAGATTTAAAACATTCACTTTCTTTTGGCTTTTATCAGAAAACTGTTAAAGAAAATCTCTACTAAAACTTAAGATTAAACCAAGATGGAATTTAAAAAAAGAAAAAAAACAAGTCTTGGTAAACTGATATCAAACACAAAAAATTCCAAATATGGGCTAAAAACTAAAAATTTTGCTCCAAACTGGAGAGTAAATGGTTTCAAGAGAATGGTCTTCATTTATTATTGTTATCATCATCACCTAAAGGATATTTTGACAGATTTAAATTGTAGAAAATCTTCTAGAAACAGTTTACAAGACTATTAAAAGAAGTAAAGATAGATCAAATAAATGAAAAAAGAACGAGACAATCAAGAAAACTGCTTTTTAATTTTTAAAAGAGGATTCTGGCAAGAAAGCCTAAGGGTAAAGCCCTTTCTGTCAAGCCCAAAGACCTGAACTCAAGCCCCAGGACCAACATAGTGGAAGGAGAGATTTGGTTCCTATAAGTTGTCCATACCCAAGAGCACACACACACACACACACACACACACACACACACACAGAGAGAGAGAGAGAGAGAGAGAGAGAGAGAGAGAGAGAGAGAGAGAGAGAGAGAGAGATTAAAGAAACGAAAGGTAATGTTTCTACATATAAAACAGTCTTTAGATGTATTTAACACAATTTGACCGTATACAGAGACGAGGGAAAATAGCCCATGGGCGATACCTTTTTCCCATCAGCCAGTCAGTCATCCCTCTGTGAGTCACAGTGATTGTGTAGAGACAAATCTCCCAAATCTGCAATCCCAGCACTAGTGAAACAAAAAAAAACCACTATTTAGAAAGCTCCATCTGCTAAGTGTTGATATTTAACACTTTGTGGTATGTTTCTACAGTAAATGAAGATGGAATGAGACGGAAACAAATTCACTTTCTTTCTGGGGTCGTCATCGCTTGTTTTATGAGGATGTATTCATAAATGATCAACAATTTGTAAAAACCATTGAGATGTATATTTCATTGTTTTTTGGTTTGTTATGTGTATTGGGCATAAAATGTGTGTGTCGTGTCTGTCCTCTCCTCCCACCATGCAGGCTCCAGAAGTTGAACTCCAGTCAACAGGCTTGGTGGCATGTGCCTTTATCCACTGAGCCATCTTTGTTTAAAGCTAAATATCCAACTATTTTCCTTTCTACAGATGGTCCTACACAACAAGCAGAACCTGTGATCTACCTGTAGGATAATATTCTAAATATTTGATTTCCAGTTAATTTTACCTTCTCACCCATTTGAAAATTAGCAAATGCCAGAAATCCCAGTAAAGCAGTTACAACTAGTGGTTGCTGTCATCTCTGTAACCTTTTGAGATGTGCATAATAGTGAAGTCAGGCTTTAAAAAACTCACGCAACTCTCTCCGTCACAAAAAATGGCATCAAACTCCTCAGGGAATTTCCAAAGCTTGGGAGAGGGCTTTGGGGGAGTAGGGGTGTGGGGGTTGTTTTGTTTTCTTAGTAAGTACTTAAAGTTGTAAGATTTCCAGATATCTGTTGACTAATCTGGATCTTTAATGTCAACAGAGATTAAATGTTCCTTTTACTGAGAATTGTTAACTCCATTTGATACATTTAGTCTGTTTATCTCCTTCCACACCAGCACAATCAAATCTAAAGAAACAGGGCCATGGCAGAAGGGATTTTTCAGAGGGATTTGTGTGTGTGTGTGTGTGTGTGTGTGTGTGTGTGTGTGTGTGTGTATAATTTTCTTTAGAGGGGTGGGTGAGGCAATTTCAGGAGTTGATTCTCTCCTCCCACCAGGTAGGTCCCAAGGATCAAACTCAGGTCCTCAGACTCAGTGGCAAGCACCTGTACCCACCCATCCATCACTATCCTGGATTTTCAGTTCTTTAACAGATTCAGAGCTAACCCTCTAGACCTGAAGCATCTGGAAAGATGGATGGTAACATTTGCACCTCACAGTGAAATGCAACACAAGCTAAAATGGATTCAAGGATGAACAGAAGAGCCTGTCGGGGGCTGGTGTGTAATAAAACAAGCAGAGCAGGTTTGGATTACAGAAAGCGTCTGTTCACTAAAGATTCTGCAACTTTTCTATTTGCAACCGGACGGAAGTAAAGCATTTGGACTATACTGCACAACAGAAATACAACAAAAGCCACCGATTCTAATCTTGTAACTTGTCTCTGGATCAACCTGGATAGAATGGAAGACATTGTCTCCCGCCCCCACTGCGAGAGAGTGAGAGAGAATAAATAGTATATTTTAACCAGGCACGCTTAAATATTTTCAACATGTACTTGTAAAAGATTGGTGTGCAACATTTTCTTTTTCATGATCAGTCTTCAAAGCAAAACAGAATGTGTGTTTTCATTTGCTGAAATGAGCTGTTTCATGTCATACATACATACATATACATATTGCTTCTTCTTCAGTGTCAATGAATAGCCCAATATAAATACTAGTTGTTACAGCAAAAGTTCATTTTAAACACCTGTGTTGAGCCAATACAGTATAAAAAGGAGAGAGTGGTTTAATAGGGGAATTGTAATGTGACAGACTGGAGGCTAGTTTACAGTAAGTCTCCTGGCCAAAGAATTATATAACAGTCACTACCCAAAATATATGTTGTAATATGTCTCTTCTACTTAGAAGTAAATAATCTATTAGGTGATTATAGAATAAGGACCAAGAAACCATATTCAATTTTTAAATTATTTTATGTGTATGAGTATTTTGCCTTAATGACTATGCACCTGGTGCCTGATGAGGTCAGAATAGGGTGTTAGATCCCTTGGCACTTAGAATGACAAATGGCTATAAGTCGCCATGTAGGTGTTATGCATTAACCCAGGTCCTCTGTAAGATCAACAAGTACTCTTGACCACTCTGGGAATCTAGGTATTGACACAGGGTTTTCTGGAAGAGCAGTGTGCTCTTGAAGCCGACTCCCCAGTGCCATAAACTGCATTTTTTTTAAATCTAGGTTTTAAACTGAGTGTGATAGTACATGCCACAGCCCTTGGAAGATAAAGGCACAGGGATCAGGAGTTCAAAGCCAGCCTCAGCCACAAAGTCAGTTCAAACAAGACCTGGGGAGATGGCTCCATGAGTAAAGTTTTGTGAAAGCATGACTACCTGAGTGTGGATCCTCAACACCCATATAAAACCTCGATACTCACTGGTAGTCACAGCACTGGGGAGCGCAGCTTCTCAGGGACTTGCTAGCCCACTCTTCTAGCTGCATCAGTGACCAACTCTGATTCAAAAAGTAGGGTAGTGAAGGAAGGTGCCTGATATTAGCATCATACCTACAAACACACTTGAGTGCACATGCAACAGCATGCATGCATGCAACACACACACACAAAGCTACTGCCTCTTGCATACTATACTATTTTTTTTTCAGTTACTTACAAAAGAATGGACAATAAGGAAGAAAAGTTTCTTTTCTTGCAATTTTAAAGAACACTTTTTTCTGGGACTGGAAAGATGACCCAGTACTTTCCAGAACATGCTGCTCTTCTGGAGGTCCCAGTGTCAATTCCTAGAGGTCATGCCAGACAGCCTACAACCACCTGTGGCTCCCAGGGATCCAGCATCTTCTTGTGGCCTATGTGGGCAGTGTGCTCATGCGCAAATCTACATGCAGGCACACAATGAAAAATAAAAATAATGATAAAACATAAGGAAACATTTTCTGACCTTGCAACATATCTACAACATTTCCATTCCTTTATACTCTCTACCTTCTACTAAGACTGTATTTCTCATTTCTGACATTGTGGTTTATCTTAAAAACAAGAATGTAAATGCAGAATCAGCAAAGGCGGCTCACTCATGTCTCTGCTGCCTCAAGTTGCAACTGCTAGGATTAGAAATAACTGAGCTGTGTTGGCTTTACGGACGCTGTAACGATACGCGACACACAATTACTGAAAATAAGGCTAAGTATTTTATATAGAAAATTACTCACAAGATACCAAACCCCGAGAAGCCCAGCAGATCTCAGCTAGCGACTGGACCGGAAGCCGAACTCCAGGAAAAAAGAGCGAGACTTCCTGTGCGCTGTCTTTTATGCCTTCCCCCGTAACGCCCCTAGCCATGCCCAAAAGTGGGCCTGGCTAGTGACGTAGTTCCGCCTACGTACGTATACGTCTTTACGTCCAGCCGTATACGTCTTTAGTCCTGCCTAAAGTGGGTGTGGTTAGCGGTGTGGTAAACCGCCCTTTTATTACCTCATCTGTATGCGCCTCTAGTAAGTCACATGTTTAATGGCGGCATCAGACTTCCTCCTACAATTCCCCTTTTAGTCTAAAAAAGGACAACTAACTTGTGTCCATGAACAAAATGTATCAAACATGTATTCTATCTAAACCTAAACTTATCTTAAAGAAACACCCAAATATGAACACCTCCTTCCAATCCCAACTCTAAAATAATTGAAAACTAACACTAACAGGTGTGATCTTATAATATCAATAGTAGGGAGAGGGGGCGTGGAATTCTCAAAACTACTTCCTGCTGAGATGGGACGATGATAATCTCATGGGGACCTGTGAAAAGAAAATGTTAGTATAACAAAATCTGAGTAGATCAGACAGTCTCAGTATGGCAGGAGCTGCTTGATTGAAGTTCCTGACTGAGGTTCTAGTGTTGATTGAAGCTCTTATCTTGAAGCTCTGGTCAGATTGTAAAAGATGTGCTATTTCTGTTCCTTGGTCTGGAGTTGTGTCGAGTGATGTAGTTTCAAGCCAGTTTCAGGATAGTGCTTGTCAGGTGGAGTCAATGATGTGGGGCAATTCAGATGCCTCCAGTCGAATCAGGTGAAGTCAAGGAAGTGGATCCTCATTCTCTTTCGGAAGCAGTTGAAGATTGCTGTCAGGAAATCTCTTGTTCTCTGGAAAACTCGAACATTACTGTTAACAAAGAAATATTTTAACTTTCATATGTAAGCATACAGAAGAGGTGACAATAGGGAAGATGGAAAACCTGGAGGAAATTAGACTGTTCAGAAAAAGAAATCCATAGATAACAGTCCCTCATTTTTTTTTATTTCTTCTGTCTTATATCAATGGCTCTTTGATATAATACAGAAATTCTGAATTGTATTTAAATAATATGCTTGGGTTTAGAGTAGGAGAGCCAATCCAACTCCAAAGCCAGCTTCGGTTAAATGAATGGGAACTGAGGTATGTGAAGAAGTAAGGATAAAAGGATACTATGAAAAAGCAATATAGAGAGATTTAGACGTTGATACCACACAGTGTGTATTTGATGGTCCTCAGGGTAGCTATTCATTCTTCTACAGGAATCCATATGTCCAGTATTCTTTGCTGAGTTTACCTGTGAATACAAAAAACAAAACACTTCTCTTTCCTTTTAGGAGGTCACTTTACCCATGGTGGACTATGAATTTGTAGAAGGGCTGTTATCTTCCTCCTCCCGAGATGTTTTCTGTTCTGATCGAATTTTAATTAATTTTGATGGAACCCAAATCTTTTCTTCTCCTGTGGAAACAAAAGCATAACCCCTTCCCCAACGTAACATATATCCTGGTTTCCAGACTGAGGTCATAACATCCTTAAAATACACCGGTTGGTTCAGTTCAGAAGTCTTCTCTGTAGTCCAGTGTCTTTCTGCTGCAGTTTGTCCTTTTTCATCAGCATTAAGAAAATTCAACGTTAGTAAAGCATTGTGTAACCTGTGTCTAGGTGTCTTTGTTTTCCCTGGCTGTTTATGAAGCATCTCTTTTAAGGTTCGGTTAGACCTTTCAATTATTGCTTGTCCTGTGGGATTGTAAGGTATACCAGTTACATGTTTTATATTATAATATTTGAAGAATTGTTCCAATTTACTGGAGACATATGCTGGACCATTGTCAGTTTTTATTGTTTTAGGTATACCCATAACAGCCATTACCTCTAAGAGGTGTGTAATAACAGAGTCAGCTTTTTCAGAGCTGAGGGCAGTAGCCCATTGGAAGCCTGAGAACGTGTCTATAGTATGGTGTACATATTTCAAACTGCCAAATTCTGGGAAGTGAAATACATCCATTTGCAAAAGTTCATTTCTGTGAACACCTTTAGGATTACAACCTGCTGGTAATGGAGTTTGATTGTACAATGAGCAACTGGGACAATTTCTTACTATTTCTTTGGCTTGTTGCCAGGTGATAGAAAAATCCTTCTTTAAACCTTTGCTGTTAACATGGTGTTTCTTATGAAATTCTGAAGCTTCCAACACATTACCTACTAATAAACGATCAATTTCATCATTGCCTTGTGCCAGAGGACCTGGCAGACCTGTATGGGATCTGATGTGTGTTATATATATAGGATGAGTCCTGTTTCTGATGATTTCCTGCAATTGTAAAAACAATGAGGTTAATTCTGTATTATCAGGAACAAATTCTGCCGTCTCAATGTGCAGGACAACTCTTTCCGCATACTGAGAATCCGTGACTATATTGAAAGGCTCTGTAAAGTCTTTAAGTACCATGAGAATGGCATATAACTCTGCCTTTTGTACGGAGTTGTAAGGGCTTTGAACTACTTTACTTATATTTCCTGATTTATATCCTGCCTTACCTGATTTGTTTGCATCCGTGTAGAAGGTAAGAACTCCAGAAATAGGTGTTTGCCTCACGATACGTGGAAGAATCCAAATTGTTTTCTTTATGAATTTGATTCTCTCTGTTTTGGGATAGTTATTACTAATACTTCCCAAAAAGTCACTGCAAGCTATTTGCCAATACTCATTATCCTTCCATAAGGAGGAAATTTCCTCATTCGTTAACGGTACAATAATTTCAGCTGGGTCTTTCCCAGTCAGTTGACGAAGCCTTAATTTACCTTTTAATATCAAATCAGATATCTTTTCTATGTATGTTTTCAATTTTTTATTTTGTTTATGTGGCAGAAATACCCATTCTAGAATGATGTCGTCCCTCTGCATTAATATTCCTGAGGGATATTCTCTAGATGGTAAAATAACCAGAATACAGTCCAGATTTGGATCCACACGGTCCACATGTGCTTCTAATATTCTCTTTTCTACCCATTCTAATTCTTTTTCAGCCTCAGCTGATAGTACTCATGGGCTGTTTAGGTCTTTATCTCCTTTTAAAGCCATTTTCAGGTGTTTTAAATCATGCCCTTCTACACCAATAATCGTCTGTAATTGAGAGATTTCTCCTAATAGTTTTTGAAGATCATTAAGAGTCCGGTAATGATCTCTTCTGATCTGTACTTTCTGTGGTCTAATTTTCTGAGCATCTATTTTATAACCTAAATAGTTAATAGAATCTCCTCTTTGTATTTTTTCTGGAGCAATTTGTAATCCCCAGCGAGGCAAAATTTCCTTTACTGCCTCAAACATCTTTTCCAAAGTATCCTTATTTGAATCAGACAATAATATGTCATCCATATAATGATATATTAACGAATGTGGAAATTTTTACGAATTATTTCTAGAGGTTTATTCACAAAATATTGGCACAAAGTTGGACTGTTTAACATACCTTGAGGTAGTACCTTCCACTGGAATCTCTGTACCGGACGGGAATTATTATAGGTAGGTACTGTGAAGGCAAACTTTTCTCTGTCGTTTTCTTGTAACGGTATGGTGAAGAAACAATCTTTTAAGTCTATAACTATAATTGGCCAATCCTTAGGAATTAGAGAAGGTAACGGCATCCCAGGTTGTAGAGACCCCATAGGCTGAATTACCTTGTTGATGGCTCTAAGATCAGTAACCATTCTCCACTTACCAGACTTCTTCTTGACAACAAAAACAGGTGAATTCCATGCACTAGTTGATTCCTCAATATGTCCAGCATCTAGCTGTTCCTGAACTAACTTCTCCAAAGCCTCTAACTTCTCAGATGTCATAGGCCATTGACCCACCCAGACGGGTTCATCTGTCAGCCATTTTAATGGTAGAGCTTTTGGTTGCTCTGTAGGTTTGGCACTAGCATCTTGCTTCTGCACAGCCTGTACATTTGGCATCTGTTTTCTGTACTGTCTTACTATATTCTTACTACCACTAAGAGCTTGTCTATAATTCCTGGCTGATACAGGAGGAATTTTAATCTGCGTATTCCATTGCTGGAGTAGATCACGACCCCAGAGGTTTATAGCAATATCTGCAACGTATGGCTTTAACCTTCCTCTCTGTCCTTCTGGCCCAATAAAGTCAATCCATCTAACGCTCTGTTTAACTTCAGATAGGGTTCCAATCCCTAAGAATTGAACATTAACCTCTTTTAAAGCCCAGTTTTGTGGCCAGGACTGCTGATTAAGGATAGTGACGTCACTTCCGGTGTCCAGTAATCCGTAAATCACCCTATTATTTACCTTAACCGGAAGTTTGGGTCTATGATATTGTATAGAAGTTTGCCAAAATATATGTTTTGTATCTCCTCCTGATGTAATTGTTTCATCCTCTGGAGCTAATGTATTATCCAATGCCGTATTATTTACAATGGGCAGTGGATCTTCTAATTGTCCTGGGAGAGGCTGTCCTCCACTGTCACTGGGAATGACCGGATAATCTTCCTTTTCTAATTGTCCTGGGAGAGGCTGTCCTCCATTGTCACTGGGAATGACCGGATAATCTTCCTTTTCGGGGCTCCATGGAGCCCCGGAAGCCCGTTTCCCTGCTGCAAAGATCTACCTTGTCTGTCTATTGTGGAAAAGCATTCATCAGTCCAATGGCGCCCCTTCCCACACCTCCTGCATAGACCAGGAGGCTTAGGCCTTCTGTTTGATGCATTCCTGGTAAAAGCATTATTTCTAGGAATGCGTTGTCTACAGTTCCTACTAAGATGTCCTATTCTACCACAGTTAAAGCATTTTGCATCTTTACGCCTATTTAAATTCTTTGAGATTGCCTTCCCTACCCATGCCTCTATATCATCACAGGTAGGGTATTTGGCATCCTGGTGCCTCCTCAAGCCTGTAGAAATAGCTTCACCTACCCAAGCTCCTGTATCCTGACTTTT